ACTTTCCAAAAGTTACTGAATAGTTTGGCATATTATGTTTGAGGGTCATTTCGTGCGGCAATCCTGTGGTGAGAGTATAACCGTGTTTTGCTAATTCCTTAGCAAGGGTGATTGGTGTGTAATGCCCATTTGGCAGCATTTCGCCTTGGTAATTGCCAGGCGTCTTAAGTACGGTGACCATACCATTGATCAAATTATACCAAGAATTGTACAAAGAGCAACTTATGAGCCGAACCTTATAGGCTTTAATGGGGGGATTCAAGTAAGTGGTAAAGTCTTTCTTGTCGCTTTCCAAAAAGACGATCATATATTAGACTAAATACGCCAAAGCTACGCCTCCGGCCAGCCCTGCAACTCCTACGAAGACCAACTCATTGTCTTTTTGTTTCTTAGAAGGCTGGTAGTAATTCTTAAACTGAGGCTTTCTTAATCCCGTCGATGCCGCCGGGTGCGCCTGCGCATAAAGTTTAAAGACGTAGTCTGTGTTTTCGAAGTTCTTGTCTGCCTGCATCTTGTCTTGGTAGTTCTTATCCAACCAATCCCTGTAAGCTTGTCTTTTTTCATTCCAAGCCGCCATGTCCCTTTGATATTTCTCCAGCGCTAAGTCGTGTCTCTTTCTTTCGGCGGCTAAATCTCCGCTGTGATCACATCTGACTAATCTGTCTAAGTACTGGCCGCCATACTGAGCCCCAGTGAATGCTAAAGCTGCAAATAATGCACCTCCTATCATCGTAGGCATTTATACATTAGGAATGTACTTTTCCTTCTGCAAATAGTCCTTTAGCATGATAGCTCCGCCAACAGCAGCGGTAATCTTAGCAAAGCCGGCAATGCTCTTACTTGGGTCTTCGGTAAATTCTTCCTTGAGCACCTTCTTACCTACCCAACCAATACCCGCAACGATACCCGTAATAATAGCAGCCTCTTCAAAAGTTTTCAATATTGCGGACGACATTATATTAYAAYGTCAGAAGATTTCAAGTAMTCARTYGCCAYGAGGGCGGCGGTAAGGGACGCAGCCATTTTTGCGAAGTTAGCGAAGTTCTTACTGGGGTCGTCTATGAGCGGTTCGCCTAGGACTTTCCTACCCGTCCAACCGATTATAGCGATGCCTATAGTAGTTCCAACAGCCGTTCCAAAGTTCTTAGATAACGCGACCATATATATATTACTCCATCACAGGAATTCTGCTTCTCTTAGGAGGCTCCTGCGGCACATACGCGGGCTCTACTTTTGGTTTTGCAGCCTTCCATTGCAAGTAAAGGCTGCCTGCTGCTATGACGACTCCTAACGCGCCGATGACGTACCCATGATTAATAAAGGATTCGCCTCCGTCATCCGCTTTCTCTTCTTTCTTTGCTTTGTTCTTCTTGTTCATCTCTGCGAGCTTCTTTCCTGCAGCGACTCTGCCTGGAGATTTGGCCTTAGTAATCTTTTGCTCCTCTACTTGAGGGGTTTCCTCCGCCTTCGATTCAGCTTCACTCATTTATATCTAAGGACTTGAAGGACTTGATAAGTAACTTAAGGACGACTTGACTAAGTACTTGTGGCGACTTGAGAATGACTTGAGTAAGTACTTGTGGCGACTTAACTAGGTACTTGATTAGGTTCTTTGTCGACCTCAGCAAGTGCTGCCTCGACTTCTCTGTTCTTCTTAAAGTCCTTCCAAGACATCGTAAGTTCCTTCAAGTCGACATGCTGAGCCACGTGCAAAGCGGCAGAGGCGACTGCCATTAACTTACCACACTTCAACGACAACCACCCACAGGTTATCTTAAGTTCTTGAGCGATGACATAGTCATCTCTTATGTCCTTCCGCAGTTGCTCCACGTCGTCTATGGGCAGCGCAAGTCCAAGCAATTTAGTCGCGAACTTAATGGCGGAGTCTGCTACGGCGTCGGTGGTCTTACTTGCGAGGGCAGCTTCATACCTCTTATGGAACTTCTTGACTTCCTCTTCTGACAACTTGTTAACTTGCTCATGGGTAAGTTCCTTGCCTATCATTTCCTTACACTTTCCCGATGACACAAGGACGTTAAGTTGTTCCTTAAGGTTACTTTCGTCTGACTGTGTGGGGAATTCAGCTATGAGCTGCTCAATCTCCATATATGTTAGGAGTTAAAGATCGGAGATCTTTATGGAATACGGAAACCTCAAAGAGAAGCTCATCTTGGAATGTTGGTGCGTCTTTAGATGCCGCATGTATTCGTGTAACTGTTCCTTGGATATCTCGCCGCCGTAGTCGCTTAAGATGGTTTCCAGATCACTCTTACTGGGTGTGTAGAAGACGACAAGTGAACCTATGTTTTCCCTAAAAGGCTTGGAGACACTGGTAAGCTGCTGCGAGAGCAACCAAACGCTAATATTGTCATGTCTGCCGCTAAAGGCGAGTTTAACGAGCTCCGACGTGCGTCTTTTTACGTCATCCCCGCAGGCGATGTCATCCAGTATAAGGAGGGTTTGCGTATCTTTAGGGAATTGTTTGTGCCAGAACTTAAGATGCCCAGATAACTCGTTAGGGTCTAAGATATCTCCAAAGAAGTCGTCATCTTTCGCGCCCACGCCCGTCCAGGTGCGATTATTCACGTAGGTGGGGCAAAGTAGCACGATATAGTCGAAACGGTATCTAAAGGGTCCTAACCGTTGCTCTACTACGAACTGGGTCTTTCCGCAGCCGGTGGGTCCTACTATCAGAGCGTTACAAGGCATGTGATCTGGGTTCATATATAATGGAGCCCGTGGAAGCAGTCAAAGCAATGATTAACGTCGTCAAAGAAAAGTCAGACCTGGAGAGGACGGTCGAAATGCAAAGGGAGGAGATAGACCGGTTGAATGRACGCGTAAAGGAGCTTTATGAGGAAATGTGCGGTCTGAAGCGCGCAGAGCGGTTTGGCGCGCTGATAACGATGGCAACGTGGGCWAAGGAGTCCGTYRWGGACTTTATGARATATCCCATGTAGAATGTTGTTAAGGAAGRTCGGAAACCCTCCTAGGAACCCTCCTATAATGTTAAGATATGGTTAAGATCTTGTTAAGGTTACCGCCAAACTCCTCCAAAGGATGCCTCAGAATGTTAAATGGAGGTTAAAATATTGTTAAGTATATATGGACTGCTTGAAATGTAAGAAGGTATTTAGTACCAAGCAAAGACTGCAATACCACGTTTGGCATGGAGTTTGCACAAAGACGCCAATCAGTAAGGTCTGCAATGACTGTAATAAGGGGTTCAGCACTCTTCAGAAGCTGCAGTACCACGTCAAAAAGGGGGTTTGCCGTAGAACTAC